TAGCTTTGAGAAGAGACGACTTAGGAGAGAAATTATGGTACTCTTTATGTTCTTTGAAAAGTTGCCACACGGAGGAGGGCTGGGACCTCTTCTCGATCATTCCAGAATGCAGGACATGGAAAAACATGGTCAGGCTACAGGAAGCCAGATTCCAGCTAGATAGCAGGAAAAAAATTCCTGACTGTTGAAGCAGTGCAACAATGGAACCCATGACCTAGGGAGGAGTTGGGCTGTCCCACACTGGAGACATTCCAGAAGCAGCCACCTGTTGGGGATGCTTTAACCTGGAGTCCTGCACTAAGCAGGGGGTGGGAGCTGATGGCCTTGGTGGTCTCTTCCTACTCTTCCATCATTCCATGTAATATGCAACCCATGGAAGGGCTATATCTTATTGACAGAGTGCATGTTTTGCAGGTGGATCATCTCAGGTCCATGACTCTCCCAGGCATTTCCAGGTAGGGCTGGGAAATTTCTTCTCCAAAATACTAGATTTGTTAGTTGTTATTGTTAGTTGCGGAGTCGTGTCTGACCCTTCGCGGCCCCATGGACAACATTCCTCCAGGCCTTTCTGTCCTCCACCGTCCCCTGGAGGCCACCCAAGCTCACACCAACTGCCCCAGTGACTCCATCTAGCCACCTCATCCTCTGCCATCCCCTTCTTCTTTTGCCATCAATTGTTCCCAGCATTAGGCTCTTCTCCAGGGAGTCCTTCCTTCTCATTAGGTGGCCAAAGTATTTGAGTTTCATCTTCAGGATCTGGCCTTCTAAAGAGCAGTCAGGGTTGATCTCTAGGACTGACTGGTTTGATCGCCTTGCAGTCCAAGGGACTCACAGGAGTCTCCTCCAGCACCACAACTCAAAGGCCTCAGTCCTTCGGCACTCAGCCTTCCTTATGGTCCAGCTTTCACAGCCATATATTGCAACTGAGAAAACCATAGCCTTGACTATACGCACTTTTGTTGGCAGGGTGATGCCTCTGCTTTTTAGTATGCTGTCTAGATTTGCCATAGCTTTCCTCCCCAGGAGCAAGCATCTTTTAATTTCTTGGCTGCAGTCCCCATCTGCGGTGATCTTGGAGCCCAGGAAAATAAAATATGTCACTACCTCCATTTCTTCCCCATCTATTTGCCAGGAAGTGAGATAACCGGATGCCATGATCTTAGTTTTCTTAATGTTGAGTTTCAAGCCAACTTTTGAACTCTCCTCCTTCACCAGCATCAAGAGGCTCTTTAGTTCCTCTTCACTCTCTACCATTAGAGTGGTATCATCTGTACTAGATAACAACTACCGAAGATTGCTGAAAATGCTAAGCTGGGGACGTCTGCTGGCAGTTGTAGGCCAAACCATCCAGAGGACCACAAGTAGCCCATTGCTGAACAAGATGCAACAAAGGCAGCTTCCTATATTCTTAATAATAGGTTCAAGAGTAGACCCTCTAGCATGCAGGTTCCTTGTTTCCTTGATCTGAATAAAGCCATAGATGGAAACTGGCTGAAGTGAAAGGGATTGATACTGATAAGATGTGTATATGGAAGGGCACTGATACGTTAGAAGATTTTTGTGAACTGCCCACAGAGCTTTTTCTGTTGGGCAGTTTAGAAACAGAATTAAATGATGAGGCAAATACGTGATAATGCATTGCACTGGAAATAATTCCTTCCTCTGAATCAGCTGTGCTCTACTTCTTTATGCACATGGTAATAAATCATTATACATGGATGTCTTTTATGTAGCAGATTGTATATGTGAAGTTCTGCACAATCCCTTGCACCTTGCTTGTCTTTGAGCTATAATTCAGTCTTGTAATTCTCACATCAGGTAGAAAACTTCCAAGCCAAGACACAACAAACCTCTTTCAGTCCAAGGACCAAACTGAAATTTTAGAGAAACTGTCAGTGCTTCACCCCCAATGCTGGGTAGGGCCAAAGGCAAAAAGAGTGAGGCAAAAGTTAAAGGAGCAAAATACTGACAATTCCACCATATTTTTGCTTAAAGTTTCTATGGCCAGTGAAGCTTTGGGAGAGAGAGGTCAGCCATTTAGAAAAATGGAGCAGGGAAACCACAGAACAATTGGCGCTTGGAAGAAGGGGGCAGGTGGGAAAGGCTTGTAGCCCGAGTTCAAATTCAGTGCTCAGGCTCAGTCCTGAGGTGAGTAAAGCAGTAGTTGTCCTGTGCCAGATGGGTGAAAAGCTTCTGGAGAGATGCATCTTTTGTTAAAATTTTAGATTTATATCCCACCTTTTTTTCTTACCATGAGCTCAAAGTGGCTTGCATCAAACTGCTCCTCCTCCTCTCAGTTTTATCCCCACAACAACAACCCTGTGAGGTAGGTTGGGCTGAGAGCCCGCAACTAGCCCGAAGTCACTCAGTTTGTTCCATGGCTGAGTGGGGACTAGAACCCAGATCGCCTGAGTCCTGGTCCAGCACTCTTAACAACTACATCACATTAGCTCTCGTGTGCTTTACTGGATGGTCAAAACAAAACTAAGTGTGAACTTGATGGACCTGTGTCCAGGTTGAGAAGTGCCTTCGGTATACCGGTATCCTGATATTCAGAGAGCTGCCTTCTCCCATGGACCAGTAACTGGGATAGTGACAGCCCAGCATCTTTAACTGTGGCTCAACCTGTGCCAGGAACCATCTGCTCCTGGTTGCCCCGTGGGGCTGTGCCTTCTTAGAAATGCTCTAAGTTGAGGTCGGAAATATACCAGCATGGTGTGGTTGTGTAGGAGGTGTCTGAGTGCACAGAATGCAACCTTATTGACCAGGAATGCTGTTTAAGTGCAAACTGGCAATCACACTGTGCTGAGCACAGGGAGGGGAAAAGTCTGGGTCACCTTGACACCGAAGCTTTCCTTTAAACTGTATCACAAAGGCTCCATTCAATCACGAGCAAGGCTGCAGCAGCATCTGTGGGCGTGTGCAGCTCTGCTCGGTTATTCATCTCGTCAGTGCGGTCACTCATCATGACAGCACAATTTTCCCTTTCCAAACAATTGCAAAGTTCGTATGGAGAAGGCTGAGATAGGCATGGAGTCCATACAGCATTGAGTATGTCATAGAGGAAAAGAGGCTCTCTGTTTGTGCTGCAAGGAATCACTCACCTACTAAACACCTGAACCAGACTTGATTATGGCAGCTGATCAAGGCCAGAATAAGAGGGAAAATTAATTTAGCCCCAATAGTTATGCTCTTGTTTGTCTTCAAGAACAAGTCACGAGAACCCACAGGGCAGACTTCTCCAACCTGGTGCCTTCTAGATGGGGTGGAATTCCCATCCAGCATGGCCAGTGGGCGTGGAAGTTAGCACATCTGGAAGGCCCCAGATTGGAGAGGTCTATCAGGTAGTTACAAGCTGCATTTTAAAACAGCATGGGACATGTCGGCAAACAGAGGGAGAACAGCCTGGTTTCTGTTGCTAGAGCTATAGAAGCAGCATGTGGGATGCTCTGGGAAGGACAAACACAAGCCACCGAGGCATTCAGAGTGAGCTGGTCTCCGTACTTGAAGGTCTCCAGTCCTCTGAGACCATCGCCCTCTTCATGCAACAACCACCAGGTGGGGCCATGCACTAGTGATTCTGCCTCCAGGGCCAGACATGTTACTGCCCTGACTCTGTTCGGTGGTGTGGACAACAGACCTGTTAAAGCTTTTCATGAGCAGCTGCCCATGTGTTGACTTCTGTATTCTTCTATAATCCAGCTTCCCGGCTGGATTATTGTAACACGCTCTATGTGGGGCTGCCTTTGAAAATGGTCCGGATACGCCAATTGGTTCAAAGTACAGCTGCCAGGTTGCTGATGGGGACCAGTCGTCATTCTCATATAACGCCGGTCCTCTGTCAGCCTCACTGGCTCCCGACTGAAGTCCGGGCCAAATTAAAGGTGCTGGTATTAACCTATAAAGCCTTAAATGGCTTGGGATCAGGGATACCTGAAGGAACGCCTCCTTCCCTATATGCCCCCAGTCCCTTAAGATCAGAGGCAGAGGCTCTCCTCTGGGAACCCTCCCTGAAGGAGGTTAGGAGAGCGAATACCTGGAAGGCCTTTTCCGTGGTGGCACCCTGTCTGTGGAATGCGCTCCCCAGATAGGTTCACCTGGCACTGATGCTATGTTCTTTTCGGCACCAGGTAAAAACCTTTTTATTTGCCCGACATTTTAATATTTAAATTTTAAACTCCTTTTACTGTCATGCATAGTCACATTTCACCTCATTTTATTTTATTATGTTGGTTCCACCTCTTCTGTTTATTTATTGTTTGTTCGATTCTGTTGTAAGCTGTCCTGAGACACTGTTAAGGACAGGGTAGAAATACTATAAATGAATGAATGAATGAATGATCAGGACTTTTGCACACTGCGGTGCCCCAATCACATGGAACTCTGCGCACAAGCGCTGTTTACTCCTAGGCGTTGTCAGTACAAATTTTCACATCAATATATGAACATATGGAGCAGAACCAGCAGTGTGTCTGACATTGCAGGTGAGACAAGCCCATTCCACGGTAATTGTGTAAAGCAATTTTAACATATGAATTGGTCATTCAAGTTTGCTTGTGAGAATTGGTTGTGAGATGTATTTGCTGTGATGTACAGAAGAAGGGGAAAATGCCTTGAAATTGTGAAACTGGAGCAAATTGATTCCACAGTTAAGCATATCTTATGTTTTCATTCCTTTTAATGTAGTATACTTCTAATTTAAAAATATCAAACCCCCAGACCATAGCCTTTGTCTTGGCTTTTATATGCGTAGGTAATGAAGACTGAAGCAAATCAAAGTGTTGCAATTTCAGGACAGAAGCTTTCATCAGTAGATCCTAATAAGGGAAATCCAGTGTCTAAATGGTAACTTCATTTTTTTTCTGCTCGGATGTCCTGTGGTTTCCTGAGTGGAGTTTTGTTTTGTTCACTTCTGGTTTGTTGTCATGCTAGGTTGTACAATGGATAATCCTTGGCTGAATGTAGAAATAGATCTGTCACCATGAGATCCTTCCTGGCAAAAACCAGTTTTGCTTAAGAAAGGGGACTTCCTTGATTGCAGCCTATTTCAATTCAAGCTTCTTGAAGATGCTCCTCACTGTGATATATTCTGAGACCATCAGAAAGCTCCTTCAGCTTATGAAGAATTAGTCACAAATCCAAGAGCATTTTGGATTTTGCTTTTGGGGCACATTAAGTCTACCTTGCATGGCTAACTTAAAATGAATAATCCAGGATTTGAAATGCAGGAAGAAATGCCTCAGAGTTTGCCAACCAAAACAGAGAGGATTTCCATACAGCACCCCGTAAGTTGCTATCTTGGTTTTATATGCAGTGCTCAGAAGAGAAATCGCAATGCTGGCAGCTGGGAGAAAGAGCGAAAAGGAAAGAATGCTTCCTGGCCACTCCCATCCAGTCGGAACTTTCCCCTTGGTTCTCTCTCTGCTCCCAACCTCTGGTCTTGGCGTTTTTCTCACCCTGCCCCTTTCCTTGCTCCTTCGCACCCTTCCCTGCCACTCACCCCTTCAGCTGGCTGTTTCCTTCCATTCTCAGCCTCAGCTTGCCATCTCGCTCCCATGTACCCCTTTGTCTTGCTTTCTCTTCCTGCCCGCTGCACAGCTGATCAGCAGCAGGTTCTGGAACAGGAATGGACGAGCTAACAGCCTATCCATCTTCAGTTACTATATCTCAAAGATGATGGAAAGAGCATAATGGGTTCCATTGAGTGTGTCTGCAGGCACTCAGTGGGGCCCCTGCACTAGAATATGACGAAGGAAGAAATACTTGGAGATCAACTGTTTAACTATGATTCTAATACATGTACGTATCCTGCTGTACTGAGAAGTGAAAGACTGATTTCAGCATCATTCTGCAACCTAGCTTAATATGACCAGAACTGCTAGGCTGACATGTTCCACCTCTTCCAACGCTGCAAAGAGCACCTAGGAAGTTCTTTCTTTTTAAATTAACAACAACTTGCCACATCAAGCTCAGAGTATAAAAAGGTAAATTCATTTATTGCTGAGTTCAAAATGGCAAAACGAATGCACATGGTGCGCATTCCCAAAGGTTGCTCCGCAATTTAGGAATTTGATGTTCTTCACATTTGCTTAAGGCATGTCGGGGGCAGGAGAGAGGAAAAACTGTTTTTGCCACTTACATATCTTTAGCATCATTATTTTTGTAAGCATTCAGACTTTCAGAAGGGATGCTGGGGGGAGAGAGCTTGTCAACCGCACTATATGGATCATCTCTTCAAATGCACGGTTGAGGCCAATTCACCCACTGTTAGGGATATGCACAAACTGATGTTGATCCGCTTTATCTCCCCCCCCCCCCACTCATATCTAAGAGAAGGCATGCCAGTTGCAGCGCAGTCTCACTGAGAATGCTGTCTGCTCATGACCGCGAACTCCCATTCACGTTCCCTTGAATGGGCCTACTAGACCGTGACAGCATCATGGGAATTCTGGTTTTTAGATTCAAGAGGGTGCCTGCATCAAATGTTGCAGCATAGCCCCATCCCCATCCGTATGTGCCAATTCAAGTGCCTCATTGAGGAAATGTTTCTGTGTAATGCATGCAATACATTCATGGCTATCATCCAAACCACAGTCCACTGAACGTTTAACTGTGAGTGTGAGCAGGCCAATTCCTTGCTGTCCCTTAATTTTCTCTTCATTTTCCTTCTATATGTTCCCTCCATGTTCCACAATACTCCATAGACCCTGAAGTTCATAGTTTTTATCTGGGTGACAAAAGGTGTTTAAAGGCTTATAAGTGGGTTTAAAGCACGTAGGAACATTTAGCAAGACTGTAACAGGGTTATTTTGCTTTCCAATAGTGTAGCAATGAATATTGATTCTTCCTTTCCATTTGTTTGTTGATGAAGGAGAAGAGGAGCCACTGGTCCATGCTCAACGTCTTTCTGGTTTGCCTCTTGGCTTGCACCTTAACTACCATAGTGGGGGTGCTTATTGTGTCCCTGGTCTACCTTAACAACAGTGCCTTTAAAGCAGAACCAAAACATGAAGGGAACACAGAACGTGGGGTACCCTCTCAAGAAATCCCACGCCCAACCCAGGTGGATCCCAAGTTCCAGTTTCTGCACCAACACATGAAATCCAAGGTAGAAGTTTAACCATTCCCTAAAACTTGTGTCACACAAGACAAATGCTTAGAGACCTGCATTTTTGTTTTACCTTCACCGCAGAAGAAAAGAAGGAGCTGTATGGATTTGTACAAGCTCAATAACTGACCATAAGTTCTCGTAAGACATTTAGACATGTGCAACATAGCTGAGTCCTATCGACAGATGGATGTTCTGCTGCCTATAGCAATGTAAATAGGGGATTTAGCACGATTCACGCTGAAATAAGTATAATAAGTGAACCATTTATCACATCTTAAACTGCTGTGAGCTTTTGCACATGTTCGACAAAGCCAACAGTTGCTTTTTTGTTGACTGCACCCCCAGTGGTGATGTGGCTCCATGCCTGACTCCACCCACACAGTCTGTACCCTTTGAAATCGAAAGTCAGCAGCTCTTTTCAGAATGGGGCTGACACAGGCCACAAATTACTAGATTTTTAAAAACGTTTAGCTAGGACTTAAAATCATAATTATGACAGTGCTTATATGGCTTTTATCCAGAAACACGAATTCCCAGGTGGTACTATCCAGTGGTCCAGATATCGGAAAAATCCCAACGAATACCAGAACAAGGAAGAGATGGCCTTTGGAAGAAGCATCAATGCTCAGCGCTCCAAGATGATGTTTGGAACTTTACTGATAAAAAGTAAAGGGCTGCGTGCTCCACACTGGCATTTTAATGCCAATGAACATGGGTACCTCTTAAAGGTAAAGTTTGGGTTGATTATTTATGTAAATTATGTTTAATTGATCTTTCTGATGGAAAGAACCCCAAAGCAGCTAAGAACAACAGTAAGAAAAGAAACATACACACACATAATTAATGAGAATAGGTTTGTGTGTATGTGTCCATTCATCATTGCCATAGTGTCAGAACCATAAATTCTAGGCACCTACGTGTTAGCAGAGGTACTAGGGGAACTGTAAAGGCATGCAACTCTAGGTTATTTCCTTTTAAAAACACAGGGGTTAATTTTAAATGTGTCCATCTTGGAAGCCTGCAGTACTATCTTTGGTCGCCAGATGGCAAACTTCCTCGTCCAACACACAGCTTTCCTGTTCCAACCCAGGGAAAAAAATGCTAGTCCTCATCATAGGCCTGTCCCAGAACCCTGGGGAGAACGGAGTGGGATGACTTCTCCCTCAGGCGTCTGTAGGGGTGCCCCACAGGAAAAGTCTTGCTTATGGGCCTCAGTAGCATGTTTGCCCTCATGTATGTCCAGCTTCGAGAGCTGCATGCATTATTGATTTCAGTGGTCGCTGTATCAAGCAAGCTGTGGGCTATTCCCTCCCGTGTAAAGCTGGGTCGGTTCACTACTTAATAAACAGGAGGGAAGAGACTCAAGGGCAGTAGAGGCTGCAGTAAATTAGGTAGTATTTCCCCCAGACACTCTGAGAAATGGTTTGCCAGGCAAACAGTGATGGCGCTGACTGGATGTCCCCACCTGCCCCACTGGGAGTGAAGTCCACCGCTGGGGAGACATAACAAAAGGGGTCCCTTTCTAATACCCACATTTGCTGCACAAGAACAGGAGAATACAGACAGGGCAGTAAAGCGATGGAATTCCCCAGCACAGGAAGTGGGGATGGGCTCCAATTTGCATGGCTTTGAAAGGGGATTGGACAGATTCATGGAGGAGGAAGCTATCCATGGTGGCTACTAGCTTTGCTGGCTATTTGCCGTCTCCTTCACCAAAAGTGACCTTCCTGCATACTCTGGTTACTGAGGAGCTGGGCAGGAGGTCTTGCACCCGTCTTGCTGGAGGGATCCTGAGGGCAGCTGGCTTGCCTCAAGGGCATGGCGTGCTGGACTGAATGGACCTTTGGCCTGGTCCAGCAGGCCTTTTCTCATGTTCTTAACAAGGCCTTGACTGTTGCTCTCTCCATATCCGGACCTTCCTTGTGAAGAGACCATGTGAAGTCATTTGCCAGGCTTTAAGCATCATGGCAGAGATAAACAATGTAGAAATGTGTACATGTAAAGGGGGAATGTGCTGGACAGAAGAGGAACATAAGAACACAAGAGAATCCATGATGGATCCAGATGTAAGGAAGGAGGTTTAGAAAATGCAAGACCAGCAGCGGTAGTTTTGGCAGGCACATGACAAATCCGCACATCATTTGTGGAAGTTTCAGTCCTGACTGTCTTATGTGGATTCCAACATACTTCCCTAGATTGGAATAAACACTGAAGAAGAGAGGATGCTGAGCTGGAAAGGGGGGATGAGGGATATGAGAGAAGGCCGGAATAGATGCATTAAAGGTCAAGGTGAAGCTTTAGGTTAGTCTTTCCCAAAGTGCCTTGGGCCTCAACTCCTATCAGCCCTCTTTAGTGTGGCCAGTGGTTAGGAATTTTGGGAGTCCAAAAGATCTGGAGGTACCATGTTGGGGAGGGTGCCTCTAGATTCTCAACACCTAAATTCACATTATGACTTTTTCAGCTCTTTCTATCCACATTGTAACTTCTTTGCTTTGATTCACATTTTTATTTTTTTGGCTGTTCAAAATATACATCCCACAAACTGCACTGAATCAAGAGTGTTGGTGCAGAAGGGCTCCAACTTGCATTTCCAGTTCGATACGCAAACCCCAGTTCTCTCTCTGCTTCTGTTTTTCAGGGAACCGCTTGGATTGGGGTTGTTGATGCTGGTGGAAATACAGTGACCACATACAATGTCACAGCAGGCCAGATCATTTTCTTCCCTCGAAACACTTTGCATTGGATCAAGAACGTTGGTGCGGAAGATTGCTTCTTCTTGCTGTTTTTTACCACCCATGAGGAACTTCAGACTCTAGATGTAGATGATGCATTTTTCTCAACACCTGAGGACATTGCAGCAAGGTCCTTAAAGGTCTGTACAGCAAGTAAAGCCCATTGCTGGTTAGCATCGCAACACATGCCATAATTTTCATTATAGATACACGTCCATCAGGGAGCCATGACTGGCTATAGATTCTCGTTGGCCATGTACACTTTGGCAAGCCCAGGTTTCCACCTGGGTAATACATGGAATACCAAGCAGTCTTCAGCAGAAACTGACATGTATATCCAGGGCTTTTTTTGTCATCGAACGCACTGGAAAGGCGTTCCGGCACCTTTTTTTGACGGATTTTTCCAAGTGATTGTGAATCGCCCTGTTGGGCGTAGCAGGTCCACGGCAAAAATCATTAACATAGTGCCCGCGGGCTGCGTGTGTGTCCGCGCTGCTTGTGAGGGCGCTGCTCGGCTTGGGATGCTGCTTGGCTTGGGATCGGTCGTGTGGTCGCGCGCTGAGTGCTTACTGCCGGCAGCGGCCATTATGTTTATGTGTGTGTAGAGTGACTGGCCACGTGCAAAAGGTAAATAAGTTCTTTATTTCAAAAAAAAGTTGGTGAATTGAAAATCTTTTTTAGTGTAAATGTGTGACCCCAAGACTTGAGTTCCGGCACTTTATTTTTTTCACAAAAAGAGTACTGTGTTTATCCATTGAAACCATTTTTCTTTCTCTTAAGGAAGTATTTTCCATATATACCAGTATATAGGATGTGCTTGAAACCAAAAATAGTGAAGCAAAAGTAGGGGATAGTCTTATATGCCCAACATATATAAACAGCCAAAATACTGACTTTCTTTTATATATGAATTGCCTTAAACACCAATATGTATGGATATTTTCCTTAAACTTCCTGGTCACTTGTTCCACACATTATTACCATATTTTTCTGAAACATACTTCCTGGTCACTTGTTCTACATTTTATTTCCATATTTATTGGTGTATAAGGCAGCCCTTGAAACTTAAAGCAATGAAGCAAAAATTGGGGGTCATATACACCCAACATATGACAAACACCAGAAAAACAGCCCAAAATATTGGCCTCATCTTATACGTGACTTGCCTTATATGCCAGTATATATGGTAATACCTTTCTGACTTGGCCTTATGCATTTGGTTATTCCCATCCTGTTCAAAGCTCAACTGATGAAGCCATTTTTCCTCAAAGTTTGCTTTGCTAAATGCCGTATTTACTGTCTGTGCTTTAGCCTCAAGGTGGAGTGGGTTTCATCAGGACGTTCCAGAAACAGGAAGAAGACCAGGCGGTCAACCTTCCACCCAACCTAGCAGAGCTTGTTCAGAACACCCAGTATGAGCAATCTGCCGATCCTCTTGTATGGCGGTACTTCTTTAACCTCAAAGGTAATACACAACCAAGCTATGAACATGGCCTTCCCACCTGGTCCAGCTAGCCAAGCAGGTCGCTCCTCGAGCACAGGGACCAGATCTCACAGCAAATAGCACTCATCTCAGTGACATCCTTATTTATTTATTTTTAAATTTATATGCCACTGAATAACCCAACAGGGCTTTCTAAGTGATGAACAACAAGATACTAAACCAATTTGATTGCAATTGAATTGAACATTACAATTTCTGTGGGGGACAGGGGACCAATTGCTGGTCTAGAACAAAATATTACAGGCAAGTTGTTAAAATTAGGTTTCAAAATACTTACAGAAAAAACAGGTTTTGCCTGGCACTGAAATGATCGTAATGATGATGCCTGGCAGATCTCAGCATAACGCATCAAGGTAGAGGTGAGAACAATCACCACCCACCTCAACTCACAATATTTCTCCAACCAGGAACAGAGTGCCCAGAATAAATTATACAGCCCATTACTACCTCCAGAATCCATATTGGAGTTTTGGCAGAGCGGAATACATGAATTCTATGCTCTGCAACTTTTCAGAACATAATTATCTGAGCAAAACTCAAGTGGTTTTGCATATTCCTGATTAGTAGGAATAATAATATCCTTTCAAAAATCAGATGTCTCACCAACACTGCTGCTCCTCATGGGCTCTTCCTTCCTGGAGCAGCAAGTGTTCATGTGAAGATGGCTTGCACCAAGTTGGGCCACTGGTCCCTCTTCCTCAGTCTTGTCCCCAAGCTGATATCCTCCAGATGTGGCTGACAGAGCAGGTGGTTCCCAGCTTGTTCAGCCATGTGTGGGATCAAGGCTGAGGACATCTGCATGCCAGGCGTGTGCCCCACACTTCAGCTATGACCTCTAGACACAAGGAATCATCTCCTAACTGTGAAAGCAGTACGACAGTGGAACCAGCTGCCAAGAGAGGTTGTGTGTTTTCCCACACTAGAGTCTTTCAAAAAGCAATCGCACAGTTACTTGATCAGGGTGATGTCACTGACATCCTACACTAGCAGGGGGTTGGACTCAATGGGATTCTGGGCCCCTTCTGACCCATCTATTCTGTGGTTCTGTGATCTTCCCAGTCAACAGTGATAGCCTAGGAAAGAATTCAAGTAGTTAAATATTCTGGCACTATAATGAACTAGTTCTACAAATCTTTCCAGACTGCTGAGCTGCTACATTATTCCTCCATTCAGGGTCAACTGAGTTCCGTTTTCCAGGGGGAATAATCCAGTGGGCTCGGTATGTTAAAGATGGGAAAGGCCTGAAGCCCAATGAAAGAATTTACAGTGAGTTTCTCCATTCGGTAAGTATACAGGTATAAGGTATTCTCTTAGAACCAGAACTAAATTAAATCAGAGATCTGATCCAGATAGTACTCCGGGCATTAAAGACTTCTGCAAGATGTAACAATGGTGTATTTTCATACTCTGTAACTTCAATTTGTTGTTGTCGTGTGCTGTCGTCTCCAGCTTGTGGTAACCCTGCATATGAGAGTCTTCCAAAATGTTCTGTCCAGCACCACACTGCTCAGCTCTTGTTGATTTGTAACATCAATAATTATATATTATTGATTGCACATACTGTTACTTAAAATGAGTATATATAATTATATTGATACAGATATTCTACTATTATTTTATATAATTAGTATATGGAATAAGTATATATTATATAAAATTATATATAATTACATTGATATATTGACACCATATATAATATTATTGATTATATATATTATATAGAATAATTATATCATTGATGTTACCAAGTATTACAATGCAACATTTTAGGATATCATAACAACTTTTCCTCCCCTGTGTTTTATTTCACAGAACAATATAGTTCAAATGTTCTCTTCCCTTTTTTTCCTTCTCGCCCTCAGAAAGAAGATACCCTTACCTTGGGAACACTCAGGATCTATAGCAATGGCCTACGGCAGCCCCACTTTCACTTCAATGCCAATGAGATGGGATATGTCATCAGTGGGTGTGGAAAGGTAGATACTTAATTCAAACCACCATGATGGAAGCCATAACTCATGGGTTCAGTATAGGATAAGGACGGTTTGTCGTTGAACTATGGGTTATTGCAGGAATGTGGGTTATCCTGTTGTCTCACTCCAGCTTCACTAAGCCATGGCTTGTTAACCACAAACAACCCATGAAGAGAATCCATGGCTTGTTCGGTTGTTAACCGTAAACAGTTCACCATGGTTTTTCAGCTGGAGGTTCAGAACTGGGTTTGTCATGAGATAGGTTAGTTTCTAAAGTCACTTGAGAATTACATGATCCGGTTGTCTAGACATATGACTTTATTTCCTGTTGGTGTATCCTTTCTCAGGTGGGTGTGATAGTTTCACCTGCACTCACCACTGACTTCACCATCGGTGTTGGAGATGTTGTATTTTTTCCCACTGGAACACAACACTACATTAAGAGCACATGTGACGAGGACCTGCTTTTCATTTTGGCATTCAGCACTAGAGACCAGGTGAGAAATTAAGTTCCAGATGTGTTCCTCAGAGGTGTCGGACTGCAGCTTCCAGCATCCCCAGCCAGTGTGGCAATTGGAATTGTAATTATGGGAGTCTGACACATCTGGCGAGCACCAGGTTGGAAAAGGCTGACCTAGGAGTTGTGCAGTGCTGACCCACAATTCTGTGCAATAACTCACAATAGAGTCAATGTGTTGAGTGAGTTAGTGACTTGGTTTGCGCATTACGGTAAACCGGCAGGGACTGATTTGCCTGCAGGACTCTGAAACATGCATTGGCCACCACTTTGAATATGCAAGCCACAGTGGGGACGCGCCATGGCTTTTTCACACTATCCAGAGCATCATGGATTGCGTGATGGTTAATGCCCAGGTTCACAGGACACAACTGCTTTATTTAAAATGGCAGCCAGGGCACATCTTGGAGCCCCATACAGTGCAATGCAAACTGGGCCGCTGTGAATTGAGTATTGGACTGGGGCTTGAGAGATGAGCGTTCTAATTGCCCCTCAGCCAAGAAACTCACTGGGTGACTTTTGGGCCAGTCGTGGATTCTCAGCCTAACCTACCTCACAGGCCTGTTGTTATGAGGATAAACTGGAGAGGAGAGCACTATAAGCCAGACTGGGTCCCTGACAGGAGGAAGAAGGCTGGGGTATAAATGCAATAACTCTCACAAACATATCCCACCTCAAATTTGTATATTCCAGTATAATACCAGTAGTACGGTAAGGTTGCCACAATAGCTTCTCCTTCACAATTCAAATGCTGTTTGTATTTTGGCAGTTGGAAACACTTGATATGGATGACTATTTCCATGCTACAGCAGACCATATACTGGCCCAGCTTTTCTTCAAGAAACAGGAGGAATTCAAGAAGATTCCAAGGTTTAATGAGGACCAGGCAATTAATTTACCCTAGCAACCTATAATGTTGACAACTACTACAAATACAACACATCTCCCTGGATTCACTGATGATTAAACTCTGTTTAATGCCAACCTTAATTGTGTGGTCTCTTTCAAGAAGTTTTCTTTTAGGTTTTCAGGTGAAATAGTTAAAGTATTCACTTTGATCACATCATCTCTATCAATTATTATTATTATTATTATAACATTTCTATGCCGCCCCTTGCCGAAACCTCGGGGCGGCTTACAACACGATAAAATACAATGAAATACAATAGCACATAATAAATTACCATTAAATACAAAATACAAAAAATACATTGGTTTACAAATATAAGATTAAAATTATCAGTATAAATTAAGTAAATAAAAATATAGGAGGAGAAAGAGAAGGAAGAAGAAGTTGCCCTGGCCAGATCATATGTTTTAACAATTAAAATGATGTTTAAATAAAAAGGTCTTTACCTGGCGCCGAAAAACCAGTAACGACGGTGCCAGGCGGACCTCTTTGGGGAGTGAATTCCATAGGTTGGGTGCCACCGCAGAGAAAGCCCTCCTCCGAGTAGTTACTCTCCTAATTTCTTTCATGGAGGGTTCCTGGAGAAGGGACTGTCCCGCAAATCTCAAAGGGCGGTCGGGCATATACGGACGTAAGCGCTCGTTCAGGTAGCCAGGACCCAAGCCGTTTAGGGCTTTATAGGTCATAATCAACACCTTGAATTGGGCCTGGGCTTCAATGGGAAGCCAGTGAAGCTGACGGAGGACTGGAGTCATGTGAGCATAACGCCCCGTCCCCGTCAGCAACCTGGCAACTCTATTTTGCACCAATTGAAGTGTTCGGACTGTCTTCAGGGGAAGCCCCACGTAAAGCGCGTTACAGAAGTCTAGGCGGGAAGTCACCAGCGCGTGTGTCACCGTCGCCAGGCAGTCGTACTCCAGGTAGGGGCGCAGCTGATTAATCAGCCGAAGCTGAAGGAAGGCGTTCCTCACCACCGCTGTCACCTGAGCTTCCAAAGAAAGCTCCGGGTCGAGGAGTACTCCTAAGCTGCGGACCTTATCCCTAAGAGGGAGTGTTGCACCATTCAGGACCAGGTCAAATCCACCCTCTCCGAAACCCGATCCGCCAACCAACAGGACCTCTGTCTTGTCTGGGTTGAGTTTCAGTTTATTTGCCCTCATCCATTCCCTTACCTCAGCCAAGCACCGGTTCAATACAGCCACTGCCTCACCTGGATTAGTGGAAAACGAGAGGTAAAGCTGGGTATCATCAGCGTATTGATGATTCCGCAGCCCACACCTCCTGATGACCTCTCCCAGCGGTTTCATATAGATGTTAAATAGCAGAAGGGATAGAATGGAGCCCTGTGGTACTCCATGGCATAGCTGCCATGACGTAGAGACATGGTTCCCCCAGCACTACCTTCTGGAATCGACCGTTGAGATAGCAGTGCCTCCAACCCCCAATCCCGCAAGTCTATCCAGAAGGATACCATGGTCGATGGTATCGAAAGCCGCCGAGAGGTCCAGAAGAACCAACAGGGATGTACTCCCCCTGTCCTTCTCCTTGCACAGGTCGTCGTACAGGGCGACCAAGGCAGATTCAGTACTGTACCCGGGTCTGAAGCCGGACTGAAAAGGATCCAGATAATCAGTTTCATCCAAGAGTGCTTGGAGTTGTCCCGCCACCACTCGCTCCAACACCTTGCCCAGAAACGGGATGTTGGCCACAGGTCTATAGTTAGTGGCCATCTCTGGATCCAGTGACGCTTTCTTCAGGACCGGTCGTATTACCGCCTCCTTTAAAGGGGCAGGCACTCGACCCTCCCTCAGAGCAGCGTTAATCACTTCCAAGATCCAGGTCCCAATCCCGTGCTTGGAGTTATTTATTAACCAAGACGGGCAAGGATCCAATAGGCAAGTGGTGGGACGTACTCGTCCAAGCACCTTGTCCAGATGATCGGGCCGCAATAATTGAAATTCCTTCAATAATTTTGGACCAGACGGTAGCATTGGTGACTCCTCACAGACCTCCGATTCATTAGTGGAGTCCAGCTCGTGACGAATCTGAGCGATTTTCTCCCTGAAATGCCTGGCAAAGTTGTCACAGCGGGCCTTTGAGGGTGGCATCGGATCTTCCTTAGGACCCGGGCGAACCAGGCCTTGCACCACTCGAAAAAGCTCCGCCGGACGGCATTGTGAGGAGGCAATGGAAGCGGAAAAAAACTTCTTTTTCGCCGCCTTCACCGCCACAGCGTAGGCCCGATAGTGGGCTCTCAAGTGTGTTCGGTCAGATTCATTCCGTGATTTCCTCCACCTACGCTCTAGCCGTCTCCCAACTCGCTTCATCGCCCGCAATTCAGGTGTATACCAAGGGGAAGAGCGGACTCTGCCCGGTGGGAGAGGACGCTTGGGAGCGATCGTGTCCACAGCCCTGGTCATCTCTCCGTTCCACAGTTCTACCAGAGCCTCGACAGGAGCACCAGTCTTGTCAGCCGGAAACTCCCCCAGGGCCTTCAGGAATCCATCCGGATCCATCCGGCTCCGGGGGCGGGCCCATACAATCGGGTCTGCACTCTTATAGAGGGAGAGGCCGCTCTCGAGCACAAACCTCACCAGGAGGTGATCTGACCATGACAGGGGAGTCAAACATAAGTTCCTCACCCTCAGGTCATCCTCTTCCTGCCCCGTCGTGAATACCAGGTCCAGAGTGTGTCCACGTTCATGGGTCGGGCCGATGACGTGTTGAGACAGGCCCATGGCCGTCATAGAGGCCATGAAGTCCTGAGCCGCCCCGGTCAGTCCAGACTCGGCATGGAGAATGGAGATTCAAGTCAGGAAAACTTCCTTTGTACCAACTTCATGTCTCTGTTCCAGTCTAGAATTAAGAAACAGAACTGGAAAAAAATGTTGGCAACCCTCTTCGAAGGAGATATGCATGCGTTAAATTTTATGGATAGATGCATTAGACTTTACCTCAAGGTTTCTAACATTTGCATCCTAAGTGTGATGCATAGGGAAATCAGGTATCTGGAGCTTTAAAAAAAATCACTGGAGCATTATGCCAAAAAAATACAAGGAAACATGGAGAGAGAGCAAACGCATCATTTACTTGACTATACATTCCAAAATTGTTATAGTGTCTGGGAACAGATATCCTATATAACAGTCTCAGTCACAGATAAAAAATTGCTTCATATTTATAGAAAGCAGGTCTTTTCTATGAGAAAGCAGCCGGCTCGCACCCGAGCTGCCCTTCCATTTGTGCAGGGGCTCCTTCTGAGCGCAAGAGGGGCAGCAAGCCGCCCTGGGATCCCACTGGCAGCCAGGGGGAAAATCTGAGACACAGTGAAAATCATAGAATCACTCAGCTGGAAGAGATCTTAGCAGGCCATCGAATCCAGCCGCCTGAGCCATGCAGGACTCGAGTCATCCATCCAGATTTCGACCCATCCCAACCCTGTTGCTTCCAAGATTAGGAAAGTGCTGAGTGGGTTACCCCAGACCACCTTCTGCACTCTGCAGGATTCTCAATGCCTATAGCAGATTTTCAAGGAACTACAGAAGGAGGAGGAATGCCAAGCGGTCTCTTCTTTTTCATTTGTGCTTATTAAATGTCGAGTTTTTCCTTAATAGGAGGGTGACAATCCTCCCCAGAGTTTCTTCCCCCCACCCTGAAGATCTTCACAGTTATATGTGTTAGGAAACAGTCCTGTAATTAGCATAACAGGAACAAAATGCTAGCTTTCTAGAGCACCGTAATTGGGTGGTCATTGTTTATCTATTATCCCACTTTTCCTTATCACAAAGGGTTATCCCACTTTTTCTTATCACAAACTCAAATGATCCATTTTTATTTAGGGAGAAGTAAGATTAATAGGGATGCGGTGGCACAGTGGTTTAAACTGCTGTGATGCTGGACTGGTTGATCGAAAGCTCGACAGTTCGAATCTGTTCAGGGGGTGAGCTCCCGTACTCTGTCCCAGTTCCTGCCAACCATGCAGTTCGAAAGCATGCAAATGCAAGTAGATTAAAAGTTGCCACTTCGGTGGGAAGGTAACAGCATTTTGTGCACTTTGGTGTTTAGTCATGCTGGCCACACGACCATGGAAATTGTCTGCAGACATACGCTGACTCCCTCGGCTAGGAAACAGAGATGAGCACCGCCCCCTCAGTCCTCTTGCTGGTGCCCCAGAAGACTTGGCAGCTGAATCTTTAACTCCTCTTCTTACTCAGTTCATGACCCCTTTTTGGTGGCTGTCAAAAGCATGCATCTGTCAAAATAACCCTGTTTAGCCCTGTCAAAAAACCCTTCTTGGACAAGTGTCAAAGGTCTGTTTTCGCAAAAAGCAAGGGCAAAGGTGCAGGTCTTACTTTCTGAAGTATCCAGAGGCTGAGGAAAGCATGGAAAAGGTGGTGGGCACTAAGAACTGCAAGGCAATACATAAAAATTAAAGGATTAATTGGCTCAGCGGAGACCTATTCAGATCTAGAGCAGATCTCCCCTTACATAAGCAACAACCCCGTTGTGCCTTAGCGTTTCTCTTCACAGCTTGCGTGTGACAGCTCTCACGTCAAGACAAAATTGCAAAGTGACCTATTGGCAGCCTTGCTTTCTCTTGCCGTTGGGCAGGAGGCACTGGCCAGGTCATTGACCAGGCGAGACTGCATTTCAGCTGGTTGGAGAAGCACACTGGCATACCTCCAAAAGATCAACCAACAAATTAACCAAATAAAACAATTGCAAAAATATGGACACATATTTCTTGTGTCTTTTCTTCCAATGCTGGCAAACCAGTGACAGCCACTCCAGTGCACTTCTTGGGCAGTTACCGGAAGACAGCACAAAAAAATGCTCTGAAGGGAGAGGAAGATAAGGGAAGTAGTGGCAGTGACCTAGAACTGTTGCAATCAGAGCAGTCGATTGAGCAGATGTTCCAGTAACTGCCCGTCAGCCATGCAACGTCACTGGAAGCGGACAGGCGACCTCCGCGAGGACAGCATGGGGGTTTCCATTCTTGCCAAGTGGCTTATTTCTTCCTTCCCTCAACCCACAATGGGAGCAGTCTCCTGGGTTCAGATGACAATCCATCATG